GTGACGCGATTTGCTGGAAAATGAGCAAAATGTGTTGCATTTTAGAGTTGGGAACTGCATTTAAATTTATTCTATTCAATTAATACTGTATATAGTGTGTGGGTTATGTTGATATATTTGTGTGGCAAATTTCACCATTTTATTCATTTCACTTCAGCGGAATGTAAAGCAAGTTTTGCACCCTTCCGTATCAATTGACAAGTTAAACCCGTTTAACCGCAGATAAATGATTTTGTTGTACCGACAGAGATTAATTGGATCAACTTGAGGGAATTGATTGTGTGAAAAGAGTCACAATTTGGATAGGAAATGTCGAACAAGCAGTGCACAAGTGTCTTAATAGTGTCTGATGAGTAATAATTATAAAGGTCATTAAGAAAATACAACATTCTATGACGAGATGGCATGGAAAGAAATGTGTAATTTAGCAAAAATTGCCAGATTTATATCTCTCTTGTGATACCTTCCTGCCATTTATGATGCTCTCGAATGGCTGGCGCGATGCGAGCGAATGGATGAGCGTATCACGCCAGAGTTAGCATGTTCCGAAGCTGGTATTGTGAGTGTCGTCTCGCAGGGGAATTTGCTAACACACCAGTGGAACTCATATCAGAACACTTCCGACTGTGCAACAAATAGTTTGACGACAAGACATTGTTCTCGCTCGTCTCATAAAATCACGATTACCGTGGCGCGGTGAGAGTCATTCACGTATTGGAATATATAATGAAAACATTGAGAATTCGGGAGCATTGTTTAATTGCTGGAGAACACGCGATAGAAGAATCCCAGAGATTCCTTCTCCACTCTGGCGACATGGGACACCCATCTTGCTGGATTTCCCTGCCGCGCACATTCGCTATTTTGCATTATAGAACATTTCACGCGGTTGGTGGATTTATTTAAAAAACGTGACACCAACTCATGTCTCTCGCCGCTCCCCCGCGCGCGGCCACCCTTGGAGCTGCACCTCACGGTGATTTATATGCACTCCTCTCTCCCTCTCATTGTGCGCCATCCTCACGAGATCCAGAGTTTCGCAGTCTCCCAATATTAGTTGATGTCCCGCGGGGGAGAATTCAAACGGAGAGTGAGAGAGAGAGAGAGCAACAAAACTTACAAATACCCAAACTAAACTAATTTGTCTGCGGGAGAAACATGCTTTCGAGACCGAATTATACTAAATGCCATCTGTGCCATTGCCGCCTCGTGCATTCACGTTTCCGTGTGTGTGCAGCTATGCTCTTGTGATGTGCAACAGCATGGGAAGGAGCTAACATAATCTAATATTCCATCCTCCTTTCTGCCTCTCTCGCAACATTTATCCATTCCTGGCTATGTACAAATTTCCAGGCGACAACTATTCCCACCGCAGACATGGCATCTTGGGAAATTATAAATTCTGCCTGTAATTGCAAAAGGATTCTTGTTTTTAATCACTTTCTATGCTGACACAGTCAAAGAGCAGCTTCAGGGATATTCGTCAGATTATCATTAAGTTGCATGCTCTCTGATTTGTAATATAAATTACAGGAATCACATTGACATGAAAAACATTTCATGACGTAAGATATCCACTTTTAATAAGGCTAACCTATTCTGTTTATCTTACTCTGTGCTCTCCGCATGCCTTCGAGCTCCTTGTTTCATAATTTCTCAAGCACTGTGACCAAAAGTGGCAAATAAATCCCAGTCCATGGAAATGAATTTGCTCAAGTATAATTTCTCTCCATAAATTAAAGATTGCATGTCAGTCGTAAATTTGCAAAAATATTGCACAATAAGTAGTGGAAATTCACTTGGCAATATTTGTAAAAATCACCCTAATAACCAGATAAATTGCCACAATTTATTTTACTTCACAAATTCGCCAAATTAAATAAACACACAGTGAAATTGTGGGCCGAGTCTCGGCCAGTGCATATGGTGAATCTCCGAGAAAAATGACCGACACTTCTTCATTTCGTGCTGAGCAGAACACTCCGTTAAAGGCCAATTTGAAATTTTATGGATTATAGAGAAATTCACGGCGCGGTTTAATGTCTTCATTTTGTGACTCTTGCGCGGCCTTTTCTGCTCTGCAAAAGACCCATTAGTGTGATTAATTAAGTTTGAGCTTCGGAAACATGCGTACATGTGCGCAAAGTGGCGGAGGGAACACGTAATTTCACACCCCAATGCATCCGACAGAGATGCATTCTCTTAGAACACACTGCAAATTAATCCGATGGCGAGGTAATTTGCTGTATTTACGGTAAATTAACACCTCGAGCGATACAGCAAATCTGTGCTGAACAATTCAATCTTCTAAAGATTATTCCATATTACCATATCTATTGAGGTTTCCAGGATAATTGCACTGTATTTTTCCTTTACTGTGCGCGCAACATCCAATAAATTGTTGTGACAACATTTTCGTGGTAAAATGCGCACACAAGCGAGCCTGCACTGATGGTATATTTGTTGTTGTGCTGCCGAAGCGCATAAAGTATGTTTTGTATGTGAAATATTGTGATTGCACTTCTCCTATCGGAATCAAATGCATTCTCTGTGTTGAATTTGTCTCACAATTTCAACCCAGTTCGCACGGGAACGCGATGGAAGTGAATGTAACATTAGGGGAAATTTGCAATGTGCAAGCAAATTGAATTTCTCCAGTCACATTTTAGCCTGTTAACTAGCCTTGATATAGAAGGAAAACTCATCCTCTTTCATCACCACTGAATCTCACGGATGGTGCTTTTTCAAGTTCTTCTGCCTGGCTATTTTAATCAATTCAGTCAGCAAGTTGAGTGCAACACGCAGCCGGAAAAGTCCATTGAGATACTTGAGCGGAAAATGCTCCGCATCGCATGTATTGTGAGGGCAAGAATGGTGAGCTAGGGTGGCCAGAAAACTCATTTCCACCCGTGAACCCACTTCAGTATCGCATTATCAACATTTTGCCCTCATCAAACAGAATATTTCGGCCAGAACGTGGTCACTAATGAAGATTTCTGACCTTTTAAGTCAGAGTTGAGCACAGAGAACATGCTATTCTTCTAGATAGCCAACACAATTTCCTCTTCACTCAAAACTGAAGTGAAAAGTGCATCTAACAATTCTGTAATGTATGGCAAATTATCATTTTTATCTATATTTCCCACTCGTCATCTCAACTTTGTTCCATTTTTACGTGAATCTCTTTTTCTCGGAAATGAAATATTGAAAGAATTCCTAATATTTTATAACTTCTGACAAGAGTTAAAAGCTCCAATATTGACTTTAGAATTAATATACTGCCCTCTCTCCCCCCGTTTGCCTGAGACGTTAATGGATGCGGAGGGATTCGACAAAAAATCAACTCCTGTTGACATACAAAAGAGATTTCCTCCTCTTGTTTTTTTTTTATTTCTCCACTGGCAGAAAAAAACCCGGAATATTTTCTCTATTTTCACGCAAATGGAATTTCAAAGTGGCTCTTTCTTCACCTCCTCTCACTCATGGTCGACACGTGAGTGCAGCGGAGGGACAGAAATATGCCGAAAAGGGTCACTGGGAAGTGTTTGTGATGATTTCTCCCCAAAACATCATCCATATGTGACTCTCTGAGCGTTGAGTCTAAATTTGAATCCACCTACATATTAAAGAAGAACTCCCTGTGAGTGTCAAGGAGGGGGAAAAGGAGCGGGAGATTGTGCTGCGAAGGAAAGGGGAAAATGAAAGCTAGGTGTTGAGTGAATAAATATTTGACAAGTGACGGGTTTGGGGAGGAAGGCAATTTTCTCGGGTGTGATTTTTTAAACAGTGAAATGTATAATTCAGCCCGCAAAGAATTCGGTGCAAGTCTACAACATACAGCAGGAAAACTCACCCCATTTTCTGGAGTATTTACCGCCTTTTCCACCTAAATTACCCTAGACCAATTCTAGCCACACTTGCAGAGCGTGCAGAGGATTTAACTTTGGATACTAAAGTGTGGTAATTGCGTTATAAATTAGAGTAAATTGTTGATGATAAATGCTAGGCAGGAGTGGTCAAAAGATTGATTCAGAAAATTCTCAATTGAATCATCAACGAAACGTGCGCAATAATCTCGGTCATTCACACAAGTACAAAAATTGGAATTCTTCCTCAAACTCTTGTTTTTATTCAAAAATATGTTGTAATCTTCTGTTATAATTGAAATATCCATAAATATCTCACCCACGAATTGTATTTTCATAGCGCAATTATTCGACTTTTCACCTTTTAATCCCTGCCTAAGGAAAGACTCCTTAATTTTTTCGCTCTCCAAGTGTTTATCGAGTCACAGAATTTCAGCGAAAAATACTCATCAACAAAATGTCTTAAGCATTATTTAGATGCTAATTCAAGCGACCTTTGGCCACCCACATTCCACTACCCACTTGTATATACATTCTATTTTTCTGTCCCGACGGACATTTCACAGGAGGAAAATTTTGCGCAGAATTTCCTTGATTAATTGCCACATGGCGATACGCAATTTAACGATATGTTGATTAATTACAGGATGGTAAGTTTTTATGGTGGTTAATGAATTGTGGAAAATGGGAAATGAATAAATTTTTTGACACCCACGAAAGGTGTGTTTCTCCCAAAGGCATAAAATGTTAACCCTTTCAAGACAAGAAACTAAGGTTTGTAAGCAAAGTTTGTGGATTCACGAGTATTTCTTAAAAGTTTTGGTTCTTTGGGTTCTTAGAAAAGCCACAAGTTGTAGTGCATAAGCAATTTCTAAGAAATTGGATCGCTTCGAGAAAGTATGAAATATCTTAGGAGGGTAGATATTTTTCCCTAAATTTACAATATGTCAAGAAAATATTTACATATTTAAAAGTAATGCAACAAGATTGGAAAAATGAGAAAAACATTGTCCTTTTTATGGGTCATATACGACCCAATTGTCCTGAAATGCCTCCTATTTCGCATATGTCCGTGAAAACACGCATAGAGAGAGACGTGAAGAGTGACAGCTGAGATTGAAGAAGGCTGCTCACCTTGCAAGAGGAAGAAGAGCAGGAGACAGTGGAGCGTTCTCGCCTCCATGGTGGATGCAATGTCAGCCGGGTTAATTGAATCCTCGTCCACTTGGGAACACCTCGAGGCGAACAAGTGTTATTAGCACTGAAGAATTCACAGTCTGCCCGAAACCTCCACTTTCACTGGAACACGCGCGCGGAGAGAGAGGAAAAACTTGAGAGGTTTCGAGTGGACAGACGCGATCCGCACATTCACCCAGCACAATAATTGTCCTCGAGGGTTGACGGTGAGCGCATTTAGCGGGAAAAACGGCACATTAAACTCCTGCACAATAATTTATCCTCTCAATTTAGATTAATTTGTGCGAGCGCTGTCCCTTTGACTGTGTCAAATGGTATGTATATGTATATGTGCTTTATGCTGCGGGTGTGCAACCCATTGAAGTGCTTTTCATCTCACACTGCGACCATTTCAACCCTCTGCTTTTTCCAAATTAAATTTATTTATTCACTCGTGTGTTTACCAGTTTGTGGTATTTTTCATTGAAAAGCGCCCCCTCGCACGCGCTCCACCCGCGGACACGCAGAATATACGCAACAGAGAGCGCAAACAGATGGGCCTCGCGGGACAACAACTTCGGGCCGTCAACTTGAAGTCTGCACCAAACACAAATAGTTTGGTGTACGGTCAATAAATTAATTAATTCCGATAATCTCTGGCCGCTGGACTCGAGAGTAAATTGAATCAACAATCAATCTACATTAATTATGACTTATGAGGAATTAATGGTCAATTAATTGTCCCGATGCTTCTGCCTCTAATATCTAAATTAAATGCTAGTGCGGAGTCATTTGGGGACATCCATGCACTGCCCTCTGTCACTCTCTCTCTCTCTCTCTCTCTCGCTCTTTCTCTGTCCACTCAGTTCACTGCTCTTCGCAACTCAGTCGCCCCAAATGCAGCTGCACATTTTGCCCATTTCGCCAAGAATTCTCACACCCTCTCTCCCAATCGACCGCAAGACAACAGCGAACCGCTCAGATTCGTAACACGAGAGATTGCAGATGCGAGCTCAGACGCTGCGTGTGCCCACACCGGAAGAATTAGTACGAGACTGAGTGGTGAGGAAGAACAACAAGCACTTCATTCAAGCTTCGCCCCACTCCAGTGCTCAGGATCGGCACTCGTCGGCCCTGCACAGCCACCCCACCACGCCGGCTCGGCTCTGCGGCTGAGGACGCTCGCGCGCGGATTCCCCTCGCGAGCACACTCGCTCGGGAACACGTGCAGGAGAAAGTGGTGGGGGAAGAGTTCCACAAGGAACAGCGCGCGGAAGTCAAATGCGGAGAGCATACGAACGATTTTGGGCGCTAAAAAGGTCACAAATGTTCCCTCGGGAAAGAATATGGCATTGAATTGCCAGAAAATTTAATGATTTGTTGCAAAAATAAACAATTGATAAGGAGAAAAAATAGGAAGGAAATTAGGCTGTCAAAAGTCCATTTAACCTTTTACCACTGTTAATAATAAAGTTCTATTGTGCCTAAAGAAATTCCTGGAAAAATATTCTTCTTGAAGAGAAATTTTATAGAAGAATACCACAATATATAAACATTTAGCAATCACTGTTCGGTTAAATTTGCCCCACTTATAGTATTCTTTCCAAGAAGTGTTTTATTATATTTCACTCGACCATTGTTTTTTTTTAAATGAAAGCCAATAATTTGAAATAAATAACTTTTGCCAAAACAATTGTTGGTTTGGGGTTCTGTTATGAAAGATCACAAACACCTGATAGTAAATCGGATATTTATCTGAAATTGGGACCAATTAATTTTATTGATTAACACTCTTTTGTGGTGAGCAATTAGTGATTGTGATCATTTTCATCGCTGTACTGAGTGTAAATGATTAAATTCTGCAGAAAAGTGAGAGTAAAATGAGGTCAAAGTGAGGTAAACTTTGAAATAACCAGGAATAAAAATTGAACAAACGCTTTTCTTTGGAAAATTACGTACTGTCGCCCGATAGTTTCTGCTATCAGCAGTTGCTGGCCAGAGTGTGGGTGGCATAGTTTCCTGTTAACCTTATTTGCCAGCCAGCATAGAGAAGGCGGCCAGGAAGCAAAGGCCCGGAGTGAAATTCTTCATGTTGAACGCAAAAGTAGTGCTGTGAAAGGTGCTTTTATAACTTTCAAAACTAAGTTTTGCACCAAGAGAATGTGCCTTTCTCAGGCACACACTGTCACCCTCCTGGGTTCCATTAAGACGCCCGCTTCTTTCATCTCTCGGGCGACGCCTGATTGTGGTGTGGAGACACTCAAAGTGGATGCCATCAGGCTCCTAATTTCTTTCTGGGGCGAAAAGGGGACGCCCAAAGTGTCTCGTGTCCGGCAAGAGTTCCGTCGCATATTTCTCTACACTTTCTCACCGCTCCAAGAATTGAATTATCAGCAATTTTCTGTTATAGTTTCAGCAGAAAACGAAGTGATGCTGGGTATAAAGAAACTGTCCCAAGAAGACACACACCAAATCGCATTTCTGTCCGCAAAATGCGATAAAATTAAATATTGCGGCATTACATGGAATTTCAAACGAAAACTCAAAATTCAATTGACCCATTTCTACACCAAAATTCCCTTCGATAAGCACTTCTGAAAATCTTCTTCGGGGACTTCTTTCTTGGCTAATCGATTGTCTGCCAATTTTTTCCGCCTTCAATTTGGATTTCAATCCAAACTGGATCAAATTGAATTCCTGAGAAGAAGAGCTTTCCGCCGCGAAACATACCTCAACTTAACACTTTGATCTGCGAAATTCTCTCTTCTGAAGCACTCAATTATGTCTCGCTCTCACGTGTAATCAAGTGCCTTTCGACTTTTATCCCCGTAGGAGAATCCGGTTCGATATAGTTTCACATGCTCCTTAACTCAATTGGACTGATATAAATCTGCAGTCTTAAGAGATGCCTTCCATTCAAATGGCACGGAGTCAATTTCAGCTGAGCTTCCAGGCAAAATCTCTGCAATTTGATGCCTCTTCGCAGTGGTGTAGTCAGAAGGGATGAAGTTTCCTTACGAGATCATCAATAGCAGAAACAATTTAACCCTCTGACGAGAAGTAAGACTAGAAAATGATTTCCACAAATAATAATAAATAATCGCAATAATGACAAATTATTGCTTCATTTCAGGAACTAAAAATTCTTTAGCTTATCGTGAAAATATCTGAATTTAAGTGAGAAAATATTTGTCTCATGAATTTCCTCGAGATAAAGCAAATCATAGAGTTTAAAGAAGTCAAGAAAGAAGTAGATTTCGCGGGCAGAAGCTTTGTCTCTCACAAAGGGTTAAGTGAATCACTAGAATTCCCTATAAAAAGCGAAATAAACTACACCACTGTCTGTCTTCGTCGGAGGAAAGGCAAGGAATTGTCATATTCTTTAAATTGAAGAGCTTCCGCATCCTGGCTATTCCCAGTGCTTCGTCCCTGCGCAAACAGAAGTGCTGCACAAAAGGCCAAGCACTAATTGACCTCAGAGTTGCTGTGAGGGATTCCAACAGAGTCCATTGGTTTTCCCCCAAACGCAGGGTTGAAAGTCCCCGAAGGGGAATAAATTTGTCGGGTCTTTTGAAGAAAAGTGAAACTTTGTGCATGCACTTTGAGAGCCCGCTTGCTGAAGGAATAATTCACAAGATTGTTGAAAAGTCCGCTGAGATTCCATGAGGCAAAAGACGAGCTTTCATGTATGAATTATTCAGTCAATTAAACTAATTTATTTACATATAATGCACTACATACTTTCTTTAATGCTTATATAGATATTTTGATATTACTATAGAAAAAGTAGAAAAAATTACTCGATATTTACAGAGAAATATCTTGTGGAGTTTCACTGACACACACTTCTCTTAAGATTTCTCCATATTTTTTTTTACGATTTTTACCAACAAAGCAATCGCCAAATGTAAGTACAAGAAAAGGAAAAATTGTCTTTGGAATACTTGTAGTGATATTCACAGTGGCATTTTGTTACAGGATTTTGATTCTCATCATTTATTAAGCTCCTTTCACTTCCCATCTCTGCAAAATTGCAGCAGGGCATCAAGGAAAAACATCACTTACAAGTACAACAGAAAATAGTAGTTTTGATATCAAATTAGTCACAAGTTAATTTTACAAAAAGAAATAAACGGCACTTCAACTCATATTTTATTCAATATGACGCACTCGCCCATGTCACTCGATACTCAATAATACATGCCACTATATATATAAATTAACAGCACAGAGGCTTCTTATCAGTAGAAATTCATTTAATATTCTCTTATGTTATGACTTAAAGGATTCTTGTGCTTTCGCTCACTGCATTTTCGACACCTCAAACTTCGTATTGACAATCTCCTCGTCCGAGTCGAGAACGGGCAGCGCTGCGTCAGCAATTGCTGCCGGGATGTTCTCCTCCACCCACTTCAGGTCGTCCTCGTCATTTGTCGCGCTCCGCGACGCCCGCGGCGACACACCGTGAGTGCCTCGCATCTTCACGCCATAAGCATCGGACACAAATTGCTCCTCTTCGTCTGAATTAACAGCAAAGGAAAGGCCATTGATTATCATTTCACAACACACGTGTAAATTGTGAGGTCTCACCTTCGTCCTCATCCTCCGGATTGTCCAGGAGTGGCGTGAAAGCGTAGCGCTGATTGTTGTTAGTTGGCCTCCACAGGATCATAATGACTAGCAGCAGGGAGGAGAAGAGGATGTGCCAGAAAGCGTCATCAATCCAGAGCTCCTTCCAGTCTGAGCACGACGCCATTCTATGGGACTTCAGAGAGTACAGCATGAAGATCACAGAAGCAATCACGGCGAAGATGAGAGTGTTGGTAAAGTGTCGATAGAGAGACAATTTCACCATATTTCTGCAAGCAAAAAACACCCATTAGTCATCCAGCGAGATTTAACTGGTGGATTTCTCTCTCTCTCTCTCCACCTTCTCAGTCTCAGTGTTCTGGTCGTTTGCACGAGAGACGTGAAGATCCACCAGCAAATGGCAGAGTCCAGCACGGCCAGGGGAATGCTGGCCACGAGAATCTGGTTGTTTGGCTCATTGATCGTCTGCACCACGCGCAGATAGCTCTCGACACACGCCAGCGCGAAGTACAGAGCGCCCGTGCCCACAACTCTGTGCAGCATCGGCCCGAGGCGTGGCTTGACAATACCGAAGCCCAGCGACACGATGATCACCAGCATGCGTGCCAGCGTGCGCTTGGCACACGACACCCACTCGGCCATCACCAGCACGCTCTTGATGGACACTCCGGTGGAGTTGATGGTCTGGTAGTGCGCGTAGAACATCGCCTTCTCCAGCATGCCCAGGAAGATCACGCCGCCGATCCAGAACTGGATGCGCAGCAGGTCGCGCCACTGCAGGAACGACACCGTGAGCCAGATCACGCCGAACAGCACGTAGATGCCGCACATGATGCCGTAGAACGGCAGCAGTGGCCAGTCGAAGGCTGACAAGTAGCCATGCGGGCCGCGGATCTCCACGTGCACGGACGCATTGAACTCGCGCGGGTTGCTCGGCGGCGTATCGATGCGCAGCGTGAAGAAGTACACGCCGTCCTTCGTGATGGTGAACACGGGATTCGGGCCGGGAATGCTTCCCGACTCGCGGCGGGCTTTCTTCTTTGCCGTGTCCAGCTTGCTCTCCGCCGCCGGATGCCCGGCAAACTTGAACTCGTTGAGGATTATGTGGCCGCCGTGCTTGCACGTCTCCGTGATGCTGTCCGAGATTGTGGGCTCAGTCTCGTTCTTCACTGGAGCTCTGTTCGGGAACTGCAAAAAGGGAAAAGCGCATTGGGAACAGTTTTCCGCAGGGGATTTTGATGGCCAAATATACTCACGTAGTGCGTCTGACCATCGTAACACATGGATTGCCTGAGCATCCAGGAGATCTGGATCTCCGTGTCCGGATACTTGGACTCGCAAGTAACTGGAGAAGAAGAAAAATTATCATTCACACTGTCAAACATCCTCGCCATGTCCTGCTGACTTACTCTGCACGTAGATCTTGGATCCCTCGAAGAGGGACTTGGAAATTGTGTTCAGCGACATTTCCTACAAGAAAACAATCAGCCAATGAGTCAAACAATGGCCATAAAGCTTATCTGAGTGCGTAGATGGCTGGCAATTGGTGAGAATTCGCGGAAAAGTGGAGTCCCCGGAACTCAACATATGCCGACTGTACAATTTCAGGGTGATTTCTTAGTTTCCCGCTCGATACTCACCTTGGTCATGATGAAGTCCCACTTGCCCTGATCCGGGAAGGCGACGACACAGCCCAGCCAGAGGATTTGCGCCAGAAACACGAGATTTTTATGCATTTTTCACAGGATGAAAACACTTTTCTACGCCATGAAAACTCTATTTGACGTTTGACAGCGCGAGCTGTCAAATCAAATTGCAAATGTCATTGTACTGTCTGGCGATCATTATTGTGTGTGAATTGCAGTGAGATTTTCCGCATTTTCCTCCTCAATTTCATGCACTTTCCACGTAAATTTGGCAGAGTTGTGTTCACGGAACAGCCAAGGAAGCACTGATAGCAAAATTTGTGGTAGATTAGGCGGGAGAATAGGTGAAAAATGGGCTTATTTGGCGCTTCGTCACCTTTCGATACTGACATTGGTGAGTATCTCTCGCCCATTGGAGCGCAATTTGCACTTTATTCCCTCTTTCTCACCGTTCCAATCAATTCAATTGATTGCGTATGACCCCTGAGCCACCCACTGGTCCCACTCGGCGGCAGTGTGTGCGCCTCCGGACGCTGGAGGAGGCGCGAAAGAGTGCACATTGCCATTGTCCGGGAGTCTGTGACATTCCGGACAGTCTTTCAGTATTACTCATGGTTGTTTTTCTTGTCTATCTCTCTCTCCGCACACGGGGAATGGCCTTATCCGTGACGCAGAAAAAGCCACCAGCGAGAAGAATACGACAGAACAATGGGGGGTGATAATGGATATATGTGATAAAGTCGGATCGAGTTCCATAAATGCCAAAGATTGTCTCAAGTCCATCATGAAGAGATTAGCCCACAACGATCCCCATGTCGTCATCCAAGCCATCACCCTCCTGGACGCCTGCGTGAACAACTGCGGCAGGAATTTCCACCTGGAAGTCGCCTCCAGGGAGTTTGAGAATGAGTTCAGGCGCATCGTGTCGAAGAATTCGGCTCCGGTGACGGGAAAACTCGTGGGATTGCTGAAGAAGTGGTCCGAAGACGAGTTCAAGACAGATCCACAGCTCAATCTCATTCCCTCATTCTACCAGAAGCTGAAATCCGAGGGTCTGGAGAGCAGCGACGCGGCCGACAAGCCAAAGCCGCAGCCCACATTCAGCAAGGACCCGAACGTGGTGCAGAGTCAGCAAGAGGCGGATGACATCGCCAAGGCGATTGAGTTGTCGCTGAAGGAGAGCAAGACAGCCTCGCCCAAGGCCTCGGCGGGTGGCGCGTCCTCATCTTCAGTGCTCTATCCACTCATTGGCATGTCCGGCGGCGGCAGCTTCACTTCCTCCGCGGCATCCGCCGCCGCACAGGAGCCGCGCAAGGTGCGCGCTCTGTACGACTTCGAGGCCGCCGAGGACAATGAACTCACGTTCACGGTGGGCGAGATCATTCACGTGCTGGACGACAGCGACCCGAACTGGTGGAAGGGATACAATCAGCGCGGCGAGGGTCTCTTTCCCTCCAATTTCGTCACGGCCGATCTGAGTGTAGAGCCCGAGGCGATGCGCCTGGAGAAGGTGAAGAAGTCGGTGCAATTCGAGGACGAGTCGCTGCCCGACGAGGAAGACAAGCAGGAGCCGGTGGAGATCAACGAGGAGAAGATTGACAGGCTGCTGCATCTGCTGCACGAGGCGAATCCCGAGGATCCCAGCCAGGACACGCCTGAGATGCTGGCGCTGGAGCTGCAGGTGAACCAGATGGGGCCGCTAATTGACGCCGAGCTGGAGCGCGTGGACAGGAAGCACGCTCAGCTGACGCAGCTGAGCAGCGATCTCGTGGAGGCGATCAACCTCTATCACACGCTGATGCGGGAGCCCGAGAAGCCGCCCAGCTACATGCCGCCGGCCTTCAGCCAGCAGCCTACGGTGAGTGACAATTGCCTCTCATTGTCTCGTGATTCACTGACTCATTCCTCTGCTCTTTGCAGTCGATGTACATGCCGCAGTCGATGCCCGGGATGTACGGAATGCCGCCAGGCGGTCTCTATCAGCTACCGCCGGCGTCCAGTGGTCCCGGAATGCCTCCACCGGCCATGCAAATGATGTCTCATCCGCAGCACGCTCCGCCGCCTCACATGCTGCACCAGGCGATGGCCGGCATGAGTCTGGCCACGAACGTCACACCGTCGATGCCGCCGCAAAGCCAGGCGCCCGTGCCCGTGGCCGTGCCGCCGCAGATGCAGAACGGACATTCCTCGGCCGTGCCGCCGCCGGGACACAGCTTCCCACAGGCTTTTGCTGGACAGCAGCAAATGCCGCAAATGCAATCGCAGATGCCGCCGCAGGGCGTCTTCATGGGCGGCCCCATGTTCCGGCCGCCGCAATCCATGGACGGCGGTGGTGTGCCGATGCCGGACAAGACCAACATTCCCGTGTATCAGCAGCAGCGGTAAACACACGCGCACGCCTTCTCGCCGCCCCCTCAGCATCACCCCGAACATCCTTTCCTCCTTCTTTTTTTTTGTATAAATCGCAAGTCCTGCAAGTCATTGGCCGGCGCAACGCCGGCTGTTTAGCATGATTATACTGTTCATTTGGCGATTGATTTGAGGTGACAAATAGTGTTGCAGGAAGTTGCACTTGTCTCTATGTATAAATTACTTGATATTTAACTATATTATTGTGAAAGAATTATTGATAATCGTACTATTGACTAAATAAATAGCATTTTAAACATTTCTCATGGGTTTCTTTCTTTAGGAGGAAAGCAATCTTGCTGAGTGCATCGATCCTTGACCCCGACGACACTGAGAGACGTTCTCTGTGGCACTTAAAATTTATTAGTCATTTTAGAGACTATAAGATCTACTCAATGTTTAGTGGTAAAATACGATGAAACTTATAAATTGCACAGTAACTCTAATGTAAGTGGCTGTTTTACAAAGTGATTTTACACCCAAGTATATATTCATGAAGGAGATTTGAGTTTTTTGGGGGGGAAGATTCTCAGGCTGTCTGTCTCTCTCACTCGTGGATCCCCAGGCGCGCCTTCTCCTGCTTCAGGTGCCCCTTGAGACTGCCCAGCTGCGAGAAGTTCTTGCCGCAGAACTCGCACCGGTACGGCTTTTCGCCCGTGTGCGTGCGGATGTGCGTGATGAGGTTGCCGGCGTAGCGGAAGGTTTTGGGGCAGAAGCTGCACTTCTCATTCTTCTCGTCCTTGTGCACTTTGTGATGCTGCTTCAGGGAGTTGATCTGTGTGAAGCACTTGTTGCACTCCACGCAGCGGTAGGGCTTGTGGCCCGTGTGGATCCTCGTGTGCACGGTGAGGTTGCTGGAGAAGGTGAATCGCTTGTCGCAGTAGCTACACTTGTAGGGCTTCTCGTCCGCGTGCATCTTGAAGTGGAGCTTTAGGTAGTTGAGCGAGGCGAAGGTCTTGTTGCAGTTCAGGCATTTGTAGTCCTTCAGCTCCTGGTGCTCCTTCAGGTGGTGTGTGAGGTGGACCTTCTCCGGGAAGGACTTGTAGCAGAACTGGCACTTGTGCAGCTGCTCTTTCGTGTGCGTGGCGATGTGCTGCTTCAGCTGGTTGAGATCGTAGAACACCTTGTTGCAGTAGTTGCAGACGCTCCATTGCTTCGTCTCCGCCTCCGGCCGGCTCTCTGGGTGGCTCCTCAGGTGGCTCTTGAACGACTTGGCGCTCTTCAGCACCTTGAAGCAGTGTGGACACTGCAGTGCCTCCGCCGCCGGATTACCGTCCTGAACGCCCTCCGGCTCCTCCGGCTGCCCCACCTGTCCCGCCTCCTGTGGCGGCGGCTGCTCGTAGATCTCCACCTTGGGAATGATGAGCGGCGCCGATCTGCAAAGAGACACACAAAGGCATACGCATTAGCCCCGTCACACGCCACGCGAGCCCCACACAGCCCGAGACCAGCACTCACTCCAGGCGCGCGTCCGCCGGGGGCAGCTGCGGCACGACGCCCATCGGGAATTGCGTGTAGTACGCCTGGTGGTCGAGGTTGAAGTTGAACACGTCCATGCTCATCCTGCTGTAGTCCATCTCCTGGCCTGGACGCGCGGACAAGAAGGAAATTCACATGACTTTTCAGAAAATCAATAACACCACTGACAGCGCCTTGCGGGCCTCCCGGAGTGCGGCCCTGTCGCTCGGCCAAGAACAACAAGAGCCGAAGCGCCGAGGGGCCGAAGCTGCGGCCCGCGACGACGCGTATGCTGTACCTGCCAGTCGTCATATGCTGTTTCATTGCAGTTGAGTCTGATTAGACGCTTTTAGACTTAGGGGTACGCAAGCTGATTTTAAACGTGGCTGTATTCCAATATTCCTCAAATATTCCAAATATTCCTACAATATTCTATTCCTGATATTCCTCAAATATTCCAATATTCCTAAATATTCCTAAAAGGAGGAATATTTAGGAATATCCAGGAATAAATGTTTCGAACTTGCTTTAATTTCATTCGAACATGTGCAGATGGCGCGAGAAGCCACCCACGTGGAAAGACATGAACAAGATCCAATAGAAACATCCATATAGGAGCGATAGCATAGTGGTAGAGCATGCGCTTGCAGATTGCAAGGTACCGAGTTCAATTTTGGTGCGTTGTGCATTGTTTTTCTCGCTTTGCACTCTTGTCCGGCTCTCTACCGACTGCACCACGGCCGCCTCTTATGCCGAGCTGAAGTGTGCTGGTGTTATAAACCCAGCTAACAGAAGAGCGTACGAGAGGAAAGATTTTAATCGTGAGGTGAATGCAGTTTTCCCCACAGACCCCGAGATCATAGACATAATCGAATCTGCAAAGATAGAAGCCGAAGTCAAAATAGAAAAGCTGGGAATTGCACCTAAAAAAGACGTCCCGCTACATATGGAGATAAAGGAGTCGAAAAAAGTTCCACCAAAGCCATCAGTCACCGAAGAAGATTATGAAAACTGGGATGTCAGCTTCGAAGTGAATCTTCGGGATTATTCTGATCGCATAAGTACATATATCATTCAAGAATATGTCTGGCAATAGAGAATTAATCTTGAATTTTTTCAGGACCTGAAACGCTAACACCAGAGTCAAAATACATAGCAGTGCCAGGAGAATATCAGATGAAGGTTTACCTGAAGTTCTTCTCGTTTCTCACAAGTTTCAGGTTGAGAATATTCAGTTGATTCTGCATAAATCGGGGTGTGTATTAATCACAGTTTCACTGTGCAGTGAAATTAGTCAAAAAATTATATTGAAATTTCAAGAACTATTCCTTGATGATTGTACCTGCCGAAGAGGAAATATATAGCCCGTTATGGCAATATCTTCATCTGAATACAAAACTCATAACAAATATGCAAGTAAGTGCTCAATTTATCCCAATTGATTGCCCTTGAATTGCGCTGCATGCCGTGAAGCATGCAGCAAAAGCTGCGTCTGTCAAAATCAGCAGACATTTTAAGTGTCAAACAACGCCTATCGATCTCGTTCGTGGTGCGAGTTTGTGGCTCTTTTCTGCCCTGAATCCGTGTCAATTCCGTCACGAGAGTGGTGGAGAGTCCTTGCAGGATGGACTACAGTAAGATCAGCATCGAGTCCATGTTCAATTTGAGCGTGGACTACCAGAAGACCAACGCAATGCTGTACAGTGGCAACTGCGCTGAGCCCGAGGAACAGCCCGAGTGAGTATTTTGTCTGGCGCCTGCTATTTGTGCTGCTGGATTGCAGGTCGTCCTTTGTCTCTCCATGTAGGATCGTGGTAGTGCGCGAGGATGCGCTGCCGAAGCCCACTTTTCAATGTCCGACGTGCCTCAAGGTGCTGAAGAGCATGTCGACGTACAGAAATCACATGAAGATTCACGCGAATCAGGAGGAGGACGCGAAGCAGTGGAGCGTGTGTCACTACTGCAACAAGGTGTTCTACGATCCCAACCAGCTGAAACAACACCAGCTGAGCCACACGAAAGACAGCCAGGCTCTGAAGTGCCACCACTGTTACAAACCCTTCTACCATCGAGACGCCCTGGAGAGGCACCTGAAGGAGCACAAGGAGCTCAAGGACTACCGCTGCCTCAACTGCAATAAGACCTTCGCTTCCTTCAACTACCTGAAGCTCCACTTCAAGATGCACGCGGACGAAAAGCCCTACAAGTGTAGCTACTGCGACAAGCGATTCACCTTCTCCAGCAACCTCACCGTGCACACGAGGATCCACACGGGCCACAAGCCCTATAGGTAAGTCCCGTGAAGCTGTCTGGCCGTGATGTCCTTCTCGCAATACCCCATTTCTCTCCGCTGAACAGGTGTCGTGAGTGCAACAAGTGCTTCACGCAAATCAACACGCTGAAGCAGCATCACAAGGTGCACGAAAAGGAGGACAAGACGGCCAAGGCGATGGCGCAGGCCGATGATTCCAAGAGTTTTCACTACGAGGGCAACCTCATCACGATACCATCGTGAGCGCGTGACCCGAGCGGCGCGGCGTAGGGGAGGAGCCAGCGCTGAAGGTCGCGGATATCAAAGACGTCTGTGTGTTCTGGAGGATGAAGATGTAAGTGCCACCAAAAAGATGAAGCAGTTTCCCAAATAATGAAATCATGAGTGTTGATTCTCTCAGAGAATTTCCGCGGGTGTATTGAAGCGCCCCATTTTCCCTCCCTCTCTTCAACTTTCCATCGATGTTTTGAGAAAAAGACCAAGAAGTAGATTTACGAGTTTTACCATGTTAAGGGCGTGTTGAGAAGAGAAGAAGAATGAGAGAGATGAATTTACAACAATTGAAATTCCCCATTTATGAATTTTTATCACAATTGAAATTGATTTCTCTCCCTAATATTTATGTTTATAATCTTGTTTTGGTACAAATATTATCTTTTCTCCCATTTCTATCCTTCACAATAATGTATTTCTATATCATTCAGCAATTAATAAATATCTTTAGTTAATCTATCTATTGTTTATCAGTTGGTCCTGCTTTGTTGCCCCTTTTTTGCAGCCATGCCCACATTTTCTACGCTTTCGCCCATTGTCTACGCTAATTGGGCCTTTGGGAGTGTAGACAATGACAATGTAAGGTTATGTTTGCTTGTAATCCTTTTTATTTCGCTTTTACGCTCCTTTTTCACTTGATTTTGTGAACACAAAACCTTTGAATCATGAAGATTCAGTGCAATATTGTTGATTTTCATTGGAAATGAGTGCAATTTTCTTGCTTTCTTAACCCAATAGAATGCCTAGAAGGTAGTTTTTTAGTGTGTTATTAGTTGAATTTACAGGTGATTGTTAGATTTTCCGATTTTCCTGCAATCCGAACGATGAATCCATGCCAAATGCCACACAAAATGGTGCTCATTTCTTCCGCCAACAGGAACAAAACGAATTTTCACAGTCACAAAAGCAGTTGTGATGCTCAAAATCAATTTATTATCGACAATAAGAAGGAGAGAGAATAAAATATTGTATTGATTTCAAGGTGAGACGAAAGTTCTCTCAATTGTACTGGCAAAGCCTAAAACACGGTCTCTAAACTTCACTGCAAACTAATCATTTTTACATGTAATATTTTTACATAATGTGTATAACTTTATTCTATATTTCACACAATTATACAATGATTTCATAAAAAGAATATTTGTTTACTTTCCCCCCCCCCGCAACTGAGTCATCTTTTACCTTTAACGACGCCAGAGTGTAGATTATATGACGTAAAGTATTCAGCAATTCCATATTCCATATCTAAGCATCTCCATACATATTCTCGTCAATTGTTCTCATTACTCATTCGGCGATGGATGGAAAATTTAATTCACTCTGGCGATGTGAGCAATATTTCCAGCATTTTCTCTGCATGGGCAGTAAAAATATGCTTTAGAGACGAATATATCTAACTCGGAGTTTTACCTACGAATGATGTGTTTTCAACACACTCGCCTCGCTGGAGTGAAAGACTTGAAAATGATAAAAACAGGCATTATGCTTTGTGTAATGTTTTTACGTGTGTGTACATATATAGTGGATAATTATTTCCAGACATTTCCACATCAATGAACAAAACGTACATTAACGAGGCATTTTTATTATTATTAATTCTATATTCGACGAGAGCTTTATATTATTTATTAAATTATATGCAAATGTAATTCCAAAGCGAGTGTGTGTGTGTGTTTTTGTACATTTTGAAAGGCGCACAGAGAGAATGAATAATATTTCAGCTGAACACCATTTTTTCTCCTCACTCGATGTCTCTCTAAATTACCTCCATATGTATGTACATAGCTGACTTGACTATGTTTGTAAGTATCAAACCTTGAAATACAAGCAGGTATAAAGTGTTTCAGGTCAATTGGGAAATTTTCTAAATGTAAGTTAAACTTATACAGAAATATCGCTTCTGGGCTGGGCAATAGAGGAATTTCATGCGAAGTGCGCGCAGAGAGGATTTATTTGTAATTAAACACATTTTGTCACTGTGCTTTTTCCATATTATATCGTCAAAGTCATTCGGACAATGCACACTACATATTTGCCTCTGATAGATGTTCATTGCACAATCACAATAAGTCTCCAGCATATTTACGTCTTTTCAGGCATTTCAGTACAATTTTTACGATCATAGAATGGGTTTCTGGCGCGATTTGCCCTCCTACGGACATTCCTCAAGTCTCAATGTATGTACATATCTTGCCTAGCTGAGCATATTTAGAGAAAGAAACGAATTTATGAATGTTTATTGGTTTAGGGTGAGTGCTGCAATGCATAAAGACCCGCTCTTTTGCATCAAGAGGAAAGTTGCTTTGAGTATGAAGGTTTATGACGAGGCGCATTAGATTGTATATGCAACATATTGTGTTGTTTGTATGTATGATAATGGTGGGTGAAAAAGAGTTAATTTATTCCCTTATTAATGCGTTTTGAGCCAACATATTTGAGAGCTTGAATTCATGCGATGCTGGTTTGTGACCTCATCGCAAACGTCGTCATTTCACAATGACTTTGAGCCCCAAATATATGTAATACGTATCTTGACAACACTATTACTGTTGTTGTTATATTTCCATCAGTTTTTTTCCCTTAGCAATGCTGCAGTGGAAAGGATTGTAATGTAGTTTTTCAGCAGAGCGCTCAAAATATCTCTTCCCTCGACACAAGCGGTCGTGTTCAGCATATTTATATCAAAGAGAATAATAAATTATCACGTTTTGTGTGTTATATTTGCTTTGTGACCACACAATGATGTATGTATGTCAAATTATATGCACTGCCATACATACATACATAGCGCGATAACATCATCAAATAATGTAGAATTTCTAAATATCACACAAAAGTCTACCTTGAAGCACAACTCAGAGCTTTTCACTTCGCGGCAAAGTGACGAAGCGAAAAGCACAGAGTGTTGTGTGAATATTCTTGCAGATGGCGCTGTGACGAAAATTTCAAATCTCGTCAGTTCAATTTATGCTGCATTTGGGGAATATTTGTCGAGTGCGTGTTCTCAAATTTAATCGAAGATGATGCCGAGGAATGAATAATTCTCCTTGTTGTAGGTACAATATTAATCAGAATTTTCACCCGCTGCGATTAACACGCATAAATCTATCTCGGATGTTGACGAGGGAGAATTAAATATATCGAGGGGGTGACAATCCACCCATTGCGCGAGCATCAAGTGCAGATTTTGAGGGACTTGCAATCCGAGGGTTGAACTTTTCAGTTTCCTGCATATGGGGTCCCGATGATGAAAGGAATGATTAATAACGTCTTCTTGATTGCACGATTTTTTGCCTCAGTCATCCTTCGTCTGCTTTGGATGTTGTCCAAAAAGGGAAATTTTTCCTTCTTTGTCGCAAAAATGCGGATGATTTCGTCTGTTTTGTTGAGAATGCTGTTTTTTTTTCTTACTGTGTGTTGGCATAAATTCACGGTCACAGGAATGGGATTTGTTAGTCTCTCTTGGAAAGTCTTCACTTCACAAATTGGACAACAATTCACCCTTATTGAATTACAGAATAAATAATTACAGCGGGAGTTTTCCCCTGATTTTTCGCTGAGAACACAAAAGGATATTGAGCCAAAGTGCGGGATTTCTGTTATGATTGGACTCTTTATCGTGCACACGAGGGTGGGTTTTAGGCTGAAATTCAAGCGAGTATCGCTGTCGAAGGGGTGGCTTTTCAGAGCAACACCTTTAATGCAAATTTAAGGTAATTTGATTAAATCAATTTACCTTCATTTTCGCATTTCCCATCGACAATTAACCGAGTGTGACATCAAACAGGGTAGATTTTTCACACATTCCCGCGAGATGATTTGATAGAAGTGTGTCAACGCGTGTGTAAATGTTTATTGATTGATTAATGGATGGAATGGAGTGCTCCTCGCGGGTAAAAGTCCTCCCGCTGCTGCTGGAAGGCGAGCCATCTGGCATTTTGATAAAGCGCGCAAAAGAGAGGCTACAGAAGCTTATCACGCGTTTGCTCAACAAATCCAAATCCATCATTCCACCATCGATTGACACAATCACACTGAGCCAACAAATATCAATCCAAATTACGGGATGTTTGAACACTTTGTCAATCGAAATTTGTATCTGCCTTTCACGTGGCTTCTGGGCTTTTTTCGCCACCCTCTCTGCCTTCAGGGTTGGTCTAGTGGGGGGGGGGAGAGAAAGAGAGTGCTTCGCAGATAAATGCCAGATTAGAACTTCTTGCCCAAATGCGCTCGCAAATGGACGGTTAGGCTTTTGGGATGTTGCGAAAACGAGCGCCAGAGAATATTGATCACTACTGAATCTCTGGCAAGGAATATTAAATTTACCAATATTTCTCAACCCTCGATAAAGCATTTCGCTAAGACGCTGAGAAACTCACCCTTGAAGTTCAACTGAGAGAGCTTCAATCCAGGAAATTATATAAATCGTGACACGTGGCATTCGTGAAATGTGTGGGGATCGTAAATTTAAGGCTCCGCCACCGTGAAATCATTCAATGGGATGGATTAGAGTGACTAACAAAGTCTCTGGTGCTCAATGTCAGCGTGAAGATGAAGAGGGTTGAATTTCACTTTTTTCTACAGACATGATTATGTGTATTTTTTCGTCTAAACAAATATAATATGCCGAAAGTCTCTCGACAGAGGACATCAAGAGGGCTCACGGGTTAAATGAATTCGTGGAGGGATGAATAAATTATGAGGAGATTCTTTTTGTTGAGCATCTGCATTTGACTGATTATTTCCACTTGGTTTTGGGGGTGAAGCATGTTATATTGAGTTTCTCGCCGTGAAATATGAATTTGGCCACAAGGAAGCCAAATTTCAGGGCGCATAAAGTATGCAGTTGAAATTGTATTTCTTCATAGACAAAGACGAGCATTATTGTCTGTGGGCAAAAAATGTGTTCCCAATTTGCTTGACACGCGTTAACATGGCCAGAAACATGATTACTATGGCTTCGCATAGAACGCCCCTTTGTCGAGAGAGGCTTGCAGTCTCTTATGGCATTTTGTCTAGAATGTCACTCATCAATCGAACGTTAGGAACGGGTGTCTGAAGACATATTGAATGGGAATGTGACACTCTCAACTGTTTTAATTCATATACAATGCGCAGCTCGCCAGAAAAGGACTCTAATTAAGAAATTGATCGTGATGCTCTCGATGTCAAAACCCATTCAACCAGAGGCGAAAAGTCAAGATGTTGAGGCAGAAAAGGGGAAAAGTTCTTCATTTGCTCCATAATTTTCCTCTTCCAGAATTAGACTTTCTCTCCTCCTTCACATCCTCTTTTATTAACTCCATTTCACGAATGTTATTTATATGATAGATATTCGGTGTAATGAACTGGAAATTCTTTCTTCTCCACATACGCCTAACTCTTTTATTCCGCACACAGATTCTGTTTACAATTATCCACCGGAATTTGTTTGATTTTTGGCCTTTCCTGCGTGTGCTCACGTCGCTCTGTTCCACAAGAACTCTCCTCGCGTTGTATACAAAAGCCATTGAATGAGTGCTGCTCGTGGAGGAAAGTGTGATTCCTGGTATTCTTCACGATGACACATTGCCGCACGGCGAAGAAAATGTGCTTTGGCACAAGGAGAGATACTCAGGCGAATTGCTCAATCGACCCAGTAAAAAGGCGGGGTAAATAGAAAAAGGCAACGACTCTGGTGGTAATTAAAACACAATTTAGTGTGATTCTATGAATAAACATCTTGAAAGAAGAACCCAATTCGATACACTTCACTTGTGCAATTTTCTGCACAACTTATTCAGCACATTCGTAGGAAAATCCAGGCTAATAAAACTCGCCAGAGAAATGTTGAAAAATTAAGCAAAATAGCCTTACAAGTTATTCCGAACACTATCTTTTGCAACATCATTATTCATTATTATAGCATGAGATGATGATTCGAAGCGACAGACTTTTAATAACCATCCTTTAGTGAAGTGCTGACAGATTTTAATATGATATTATGCTAAAATTAAATGAATTGAGCAAGAAAATGAGGAACACATTTGGGACACTTTTTCCTCCTCTTCTGGCCGTCTTAAATGTTCAGCAGTCACTTTTTCATTGAGTGAATTCACTTTTAAGCCCGTTTCCGAGATCAATTTCAATTGGAGATGAAATGTTTGTTTGGTGAGCTCGGAAAGGGACACGCACCGGACCGAATATCAATGTTTGGTTGGAGGTTTCAGCACTGGCGTCTCCGCAAATCGCTCACGGGGAACTTTAGTCAAAAACAACACGACTTCCGTGGGGGATTTTCCTGCCATCAGGATGATGGGCTCAGAGTGGAATTTCATTCATAAGTCGGCGCGCGGGTGGGAA